GGAAGAGGAGGAGGAGGAAGAGTCTTCATCACCGTCGTAACCTCGCGCGCCGTGGCCACCGCTGCCACTGAGATATTTCCACTCGTTTTCGTCACCGTCACCGCCATCGCCCTTCTCGCCCTCGCGAGCCGCCGTCGCCAGCTGAACACCCTCCACGTCCCGAAGGCAATCCTCGATGATGGTGATCCCGCGCGCGTCGCACACAGCCTTCACCTGTCGCAAGGGGCAGTGATCTCAGAAGCGGCAAAAGGTAGCGAGGGGAATTCTCTGGCCACGGCGAGCCTCGGCCACGAACAGGATCCCGACCTGAGCGAAAGGAACGGCCCGACTACCAGAGCCCCTGCACAGCCCACACAGGCCCCCGTATATCAACGTTTTGACTGTCTCCTCCCTCCCGCCCTCCTCCTCCTCCTCATCATCATCATCCACATCATCATCATCACCATCATCATCATCATCATCATCATCATCATCATCATCATCATCATCATCATCATCACCTCCTCATCATCATCACCTCCTCCTCCTCCTCCCCCTCCTCTTCCTCCTCCTCCTCCTCCTCCTTCTCCTCCTCCTCCTCCTCCTCATCCCCCTCCCCCTCCTCCTCCTCCTCCTCCTCCTCCTCCTCCTCCTCCTCCTCTTCCCCCTCCTCCTTCCCCTCATCCTCCTCCTCCTCCTTCTCCTCCTCCTCCTTTTCCTCCTCCTCCTCCTCCCCCGAGGGTGGGGGCCTGGCACCTGTTCTCATGGCGTTAGCGCCACACACTCCGCGGGGAACACTGTCAGTGTCATTCGCATGTGGCGGCTGGGGGCAGATAAACCGGCTTTCGTCGTTCTAGCACCAGCCACGTGGCACTTTGCCCGCGGCAGCGGCGCGTTAGCTGCGCCCGTGACCTTGGGATGGGTACCAGGCACGGCGAGTGCGCATGTGGTTGAGAGGCGGGGCCATGTGGTCCGTAAGTCCCTTGGGACCTTGTGTCCGCTCACCCTGGGGTACAAACCCAGTTGCACATGCCATCCGATTCGGCAAAGCTGACGGTCGGGACGTACTGCGCGGTGACGCGGTGAACCGGCTGTCCCCCTACGCACCACGCCGTCTCGGTTGGGCAGCAAGTCGCTGAGCGACGAGGTATCTGCCTTTCCCCTGACCGTCGGTGTTGGCGCCTGCGGGCCCCTTCCTCCTGTCTGGGAGGCCGACGGTGACGGTTGAGCTTCGCTCGCCGCTCACTTCTTGGATCTATGACACTCATGACACTCCTCCTCCTCCTCCTCTTCCTCATCCTCCTCCTCCTCCTCCTCCTCCTCCTCCTCCTCCTCCTCATCATCATCATCATCATCATCATCATCATCATCATCATCATCATCATCATCATCATCATCATCATCATCATCATCATCATCATCATCATCATCATCATCATCATCATCATCATCATCATCATCATCATTCATCATCATCATCATCATCTCATCATCATCATCATCATCATCATCATCATCATCATCATCATCAGCATCATCATCATCATCATCATCCATCATCATCATCATCGCATCAGCATCATCATCATCATATCGTCATCATCATCATCATCATCATATCATCATCATCGTCATCAGCATCATCATCATCATCAGCATCATCAGCATCATCATCAGCATCACACCACCATCATCATCATCAGCAGCAGCAGCATCAGCATCATCATCGTCATCATCATCATCACCACCACCACCATCATCATCATCAGCAGCAGCATCATCATCACCATCATCATCAGCAGCATCATCAGCATCATCGGCATCATCATCAGCAGCATCATCAGCATCATCAGCATCATCATCATCACCACCACCATCACCATCATCATCATCAGCATCATCATCATCATCACCATAAACATCGTCATCATCACCACCACCACCATCACCATCATCATCATCATCAGCATCATCATCACCATCATCATCATCATCATCATCATCATCATCATCATCATCATCATCATCATCATCTCCTCATCCTCCGCATCTCCTCCTACTCATCTCCTCCTCCTCCTCCTCGTCCTCCTCCTCGTCCTCCTCCTCCTCCTCCTCCTCCTCCTCTTCCTCCTCCTCCTCCTCCTCGTCGTCCTCGTCCTCCTCCTCCTCCACCTCATCCTCCTCCTCCTCCTCCTCCTTGTCCTCCTCCTCCTCCTCCTCCTCCTCCTCCTCCTCCTGCTGAGACAGCACAAATGTCAAGACGCAGGACACCCTCTGAAATTCTCCGAGACCGACAGGAAGATGAACGGCCCCGGGACGAAGATGTAGGACAGCTTCACCACGCCCCGCAGCGCCGCGAGGCCCGCCGCCGCCGCCGCACACGCGAGCTCAGCCCGCCGCCGCCTCGCGGAAGGCAACAGCTCTGGCCACCCAGTCTCCCCCGAGGCTCGCGCGCAGCTGCCGGTTCGTCGCCCCGCGCAGGGCGACCGACAACTCGGCCCCCCAGCGCCGCTGCGTCCGTGCGCTGGCAACCGCCGTGCTGCCCTCCTCATCCCCCAGCCCCTGGGCGAGGTCCCGCGCCAGCATCTGCAGGTGGCGCAAAGCGGCCCTGCCGTGCCAGACCAGCAATATGCGTGTGAGTACTGGGAGCGCTTCGAGCACGACAGCGTATGTTGGGACGACCAGAAGACCATCCTGCATTCCGCAAGCGTCGCGTGCACACGGCCGCCACCACGCCCCGCATGGAACAGTGCCGGTGAGCACCGCCGTGCCTGCGAGCACGGCGCAGCAGATGAGCAATACGGTATCCATGCGCCTGCCACTTCCCTCCCTCGCCCGCCCTGCGTCCGTCCGTCAATCCCCGCCCACGTGGAGCGGCGGGGAGTGGAACTCGCACGGGCCGAACCCACACGGGCGGAACTCGGACGGAACGGAACTCGCACCGACTGAGCTCGCACGGACGGGGCTCGCACGGACGGAACTCGCACGCGCGGACCTCGCACGGATGGAGCTCCCACGGGCGAAAGTCGCACGGACGTGACTCGCACGGACGGAACTCGCACAAGCGGAACTCGCACCAGCGGAACTCGCACACAGAGAAGCTTCAGACCGAGAGCAAAGTCATGCGTGCGAGTTCCGCGCGTGCGAGCTGCGTCTGGACGAATTCCGTTTTGTGCGAGTTCCGTCTGTGCGAGCCCCGCTCCGTGCGAGTTTAGTGCGTGCGAGTTCCGCCTCGTGTGAGTTCCGCGTCGCGCGAGTCCCGTGCGTGCGAATTACGTGGGTGCGAGTTCTGTTCGTGCGAGTTCCGCGCGTGCAAGTCCCGCCGCCTCCGATTCATCCCCCCCTAAGCCTTTCCCCCCTGGCGTTGCCCCCTGGCCTTCGAGTCACAACTTGGCTCTCCGGCGGCTGTTCGGGACGACTCCGGCAGCCCCGGAACACCCTGGGCGAGGCGTAGCTGATGGAAACCACGCCGCGTCTCGAAAACTCTTGAACTAAAAATTCGAAAACTTCGGATTCCTCCCCCTGGGCAAATCCCCCCCTGACGCTGCCCCTGACCAGACGGGCCCACATCCCCGGAATCCTGAGCCTCCCCCCCCTGAGCCTGTACCCTCCTAACGTTGCCCCTTAACCCTCCGCCATTCGGGCGGTGGGAGTCTAGTTCCCCCCTCTCTTTCGCCTGCTAATGTGGGTCCTTCTGGGGAAATGAAAACTCTGCGGACCCTGACGAAGGATTTCCAGAGGAATTGCCCAAAAAATCGGAGAACAACTACGCTTTGAAACAAAAGCGGTCCCGATAAAGAAACACTCATGGGATTGAACTTGCGTTTGCCTGGCCCCCATCAAAGGCTGACCCCCACCAGCAGGCGAAGGACATCCCCCCCTCGAGGCACGGGGCCGTGCAGGGACAGCATCATCGGGCCACACCGAGCCGGTGCGGGAGGGAGATCGAAGGGGGAGAGTTCAGCATCGAATCGATGAGTCGGCTCGGCGGTCGACATGAATCGGATCGGCGGAAATCGGCAGCCAAGTCGGGAGAAGTCGAACCGGCAGAAATCGGCAAGCTGGTATGCCTCCAGTGAGGATCGGAATCCGAAGCCGAATCGAATCGGAAGCGGAGGCCATCGAGGTCGAGGTCGAGTCGCATCGAATCGACCGAATCGAAACGAGCCCTGCGAGGGGGGTGAGCAGACCTCCACACCAGGCCGTGCAAGGGGAAGAGGCGCAGGACGGGGCCCTCCTCCAGCCTGCTGCGATGTCTCGGCGGCGCGCCGGGGGTGATCAACAAGGGAAGTGTCTCCAATCCTCTGGGAGGGGCCGCAACGTCAGGGATAGGGGGGGTCTTCTCTGCAGATATCTCAGACCAAACCGCCCAGACTTCTGATTCCTAATTTTAATGCGAGGACGGGGACCTCAGTGAGGCCACGCCTTCATCGTGTTATCAGGGTTAGGGGGTCTTTTCTTCTCAATGAGGGGGGGGAAAAAAGGAGAGGGCAGGATCAGTCAGCATCGCCACGGGAAATCGGATCGGATCGGAATGTGCACCGAATGGGCCGCATCGGCACGGAGGCGGATCAGAAGCGGATCGGCCGCGCCATGATGCACAACAGCGCCGCACGAGCCTCGGCACTCAGCGGATGGTCGGAACATCGGAACTTGATCGGCTCGAGCAGGGCAGCGTCGATCTCGAGTCGGATCGATCGGATCGCAACAGACCCTGGAGGGGGCGGGCCTTCTGTGCAGGCGGCGAGGCTCGACCAGAACCCCTACCAGGCCCCCTGAGAAGCCCCCGTGCGGGCCTTCTGAGCCTTCTGAGCAGGAGCTTCGCGCAGCGTGCCCCGCGAAGCGCGACGCGCAGTTACCTTCGCGACATCGCGCTCCCGCGCCGACCTCTTGGAGAAGGGCGACAGCTCTGGCCCGGCCCGTGACGCGCGACGCGCGCTCGCCCTCGCGCCCCCGGGCCTCCTGCTTCCCAGCTCTGCTGCTGCTGCTGCTGCTCCCTCCCGACCCTCTCGGGCTCGCCCCTAGCGCGTGATCTGCCCGCGGGGCGAGGAGCTGGCCTGGTCCAGCTCGGCGACGCGGCCGCGCATGTGCGAGAGCATCAGGAACTTGGCGCCGGACTCGTCGGCCTCGGACGCGCACGCAGGAGAGAGCTACATTTGTTTCCTTGCCCGCGCCGCTTCGTCGGTGGCCAGAGGTCGCGTTCAGCGGACCGCACGAGCCGCCGCAGGCGTTCGGCTGAAAAGGAGACAAGAAAAGCGAGCAGCAGCAGGTCTCCGCAACCGCCACCGAGCGGCCGCACGCATGCAAATCGCTTGCGGGCACAGCACGGGAAATTCGGTGCACTATCGCTTGTGCACGCGCAGCACATGCACATACATGCTTGCATGCATTCACGTGTACACAACGCATGCAAGGGAAGTGCGCGTGATGGGACACAGACGTACACGCAGACAATGCGCAAAGGCAGGTACGGACGAACAAACGTACACCTTCACTGCAATATGCGCACACATCCGTTTGCAGAGTCCGAGCGCACGCACACACATCCACAGGACTCACTACCGTGTATTGAATACCTACCAGACCACCCCAACCCCACCCGAAGACCCGAATTTCGGGTTGGGGGGGTACGGGTTCCATATGATAACGCACGTGTACAATAAACGAACATCCACAAGAAAGCTCACCGCGGCGTGCGCAAGCCTGCGCGCGGGCAGACGTCTGGGCGCACAGGGGTGGCAGTCTGCTCGGTGGGCCGTGGGGCAAACCCCTGGGCTGCATCCACGCCCCCGGCGACCTCGTGCAGCGCGAGCTCGCCCCTCGTGCAAGAGGAAGGAGACGCCGTGAACGGTAGCGCCCCACACTCATTTGCGCCGGCGGCTAGGCAGGGTCACTGCGCTGGCGAACGGAGCGAAACGGGGCAGACGTTGAGCGAATCGTGCCACCACGCAGGAGGGGGGGGAGGGAGGACGGGCGACGGCCGAGGGGGGAGGGACAAGCTAAGTGCGTTCGAGGCACATCTGACGTTTTACCCCTCCTTCCCCTCCTTTACAATGGCGTAGATCCCCTCTACATTCGCAAAATCGCATGTCGTAGCATGGCAGAACATTACATGGCATAGCATGTCGTCGAAAATCCACGCGTAGCATGAAATAGCATGGCGTGGCGACGCCCCAAGGTGGGGGGGAGCTTCTGCGGCCCAAATCATCAACGAATATACACCGAATGCGGAATCACTTCCAATGGCTTCTTCGGGAGGCAATTCTCTAGATTTGGGGGCCGATTTGGAAGGACCGAAAACCATGCCGGGGCAGGGTCCTCGAAATATAGACGCCAGCGCTGCAACGGGAGCACGATTCGGAACAAGCGGAAGCGCGGAAATGAGGCCAGCGCTACAGCGGGAGCACGGTTCGGAACGAGCAATAGCCCGGAAGTGAAGCCAGCGCTTGAGCGAGAGCAGCATTTACATATATATATATATATATATATATATACTTTTTTCCCCTCGAGGACGTGCAGTCGCCAGTGGGTGCAAAGAAAAAGACGGTCAGGCAGAGGCGCGCCCCACGACCCGGCCAGAGCTGGCACGGGCAGCACCTTTGGCTATGTGGTGGGATCGCCCCTGGCGCTGGGCGTCGCGCCTGAGAGCTCTGTCAATCAGGTCGAGACGCGCTATTTCGTCTGGCGGCAGGCGAGGCGAATGCTGGAGCACCCAGAGCCTGCACCGGGGCCGTCGCCGATCGGACAGGTGCGCAAGACAGCGGAGCCTCTGCTGAAAATCTGTATGACAGCAAGGGCAAACACCTGACGGCACGAATTCGCGAATGACGTTTCGCTTTAAATGCTTGATCCGCGCATGCGTCTCGAGGGCGCGCGCTGTAGCAAAAGCGCGCTTGCAGTCTGGGCAAGCAAACGGGCGGACTGGCCCGTCAGGAGCCGCTGCCACCTGGCTGTCGCAGATGGAGTCAAGGAAGAACACGGCGTCAAGCATGGAATGCCACTCGTGGGCATGGCGCATGCGGTCGTGCCAAAAATTTGGAGATTCAAGGAGACCCGGCCAATCGGCCTTGTGAAGGGTTTCTTTGACTACATCGATGTCTCCAATCAGCTGCCGCACCCATGGGAGGCAATCGCTGTTGGAGCCGACGCGGAGATGGAGCAGAGCTAACAGGACCTCTGGCCGGTCGCGACACACGCGGGCGGCAAACGCCAGCCGCAGCCTCAAAATGATGGAGAGAACGTGATCCACCGCCGCTTTACTGTGGAAAATTGCCAACCTTTTCCTCCGGTCGCCCCCCCCCCCTCCGAAAATCCCCCCCCCCCCTGCTGGAACCCCTCCCCCCCCCCTCCCCCGGCAAAACCCCCCCCTCCCCTAACCCCTCCCCCCCCCCCCCTCCCGCTCGAAAACCGGGGGGGGTCACTACCGGTTCGAACCCCTCCCCCCCCCCCCCCTACCCTCCGGATCCGGAAAACTGGAGGGGGCCACTACCGGTTCGCACCCCCCCTTCCCCTTTCCCCCCCCCCCCTACTCACCGCCAGCAAACGACTCCCGGTCCCCACCACCGTCCGCATCACATCCCCCACTGGTGTTCCCAGCACCACTGTCCTCACCACCGCTGTCCCCACTGGTTCCACCACCGCCCCTACTGTCCCCACCAGTGGCCCCACCACTGTCGCACTGTCCCCGCTGTCCCCAGAACTGTTCCCACCACGGTTCCACTCTCCCCACTGTCTCCACGGCCCCAACCACTGCCCGACTATCCCCACTGTCCCCACTGTCCCACTGACTCCTCCGCTGTCCCACTGAGCTGTCCCACTGTTCCCACCACTGTCCCCACTGTCCCCACCACTGTCCCCACTGTACCTCTGTCCCATTGTCCCACCGCCGTCCTCGCCACCGCCTTCACCACTGTCCCCACCACCATTGTACCCTCCACTGTCCCACTGTTTCCACCTCATTCCCATTGTCCCCACACCACTGTCCCCACCACCACCGTCACCACCACTGTCCACTGTCCCCCCCTGTTCCCACCATTGTCCCCACCACTGTCCCCACCACTACCGTCCCCACCACTGTCCCACTGTCCCACTGTCCCCACCACTGTCCCGCTATCCCCTCACCACTGTCCCCACCAACACCGTCCCCACCATTGTCCGCACCCCCACTCGGTTTTCGAGGGGGGGGGGGGGCTTCGAACCGGTAGTGACCCCCCCCCCCTTTTCATGATGAACCGGGGGGGGGGGGGGAGGGGTTCGAACCGGTAGTGACCCCCCCTGGTTTTCCGGAGGGGGGGGGGGGGGAGGGGTTCGAACCGGTAGTGACCCCCCCCCCGGTTTTCCGCCAGCAGCGGTAGAACACGCTCTTTCAAATGATGCAATCCAGGCTGGGTTGCTGCAGCTGTACTCGCACCTGCCGATCCGCGATGTTGCAATCGCTGCTGAAACGAAGTGCGCCTGCAATGCGCCGAAGGCCCCTCATGCAGCAACTATTCATTGCCTTCAGGTCCCGGCCTGTCAGGAGGAGCGCGTGGACTGCAAACAAAAGCCGGCTTAGCACGAGGGAGCGCAAGAAAGCGAGCTTGTGGGTGACACTGAGGAGGTCGGAACCGAAGGTTTTGTAGGCCAGCGGGGAGTATGCTGCCAGAGCCGACGACACGCGGTGCCTGGTGTTGGCGAAAGTGCCACCATTGCCATTGGGGCTTACGTACGAACCCGAATGTTTATACTCTTGCACAACAAGGAGCCATACGTTGGACCTGCGAGGAACGGGAATGGCCAGCCGCCCGTCGCGGCGGCGACGACGGTGAAGACGAGCGGCAGCATGGCGACCTCTATACTTGAGGAGGCACTCGCTCTTGCCCGGATTCCAATTGAGCTCCAAGTGCAAACTGTCGAACAGCTCCACCAAGACGTCCAACAGGACATCGATTGACTCGTCGAGCTCAGCCGGCGTGTCCGCTATGAGCACGACGGCTTGAGGCCCTTCTCGGCGCAAATGTGGTGCAGCAGGGACAGAGCAACGGCGTAGTGAGAGTTGAACGTGATCGACCCTAACTTGCACCCCTGTCGCCCTCCTGTCAGGCTGGTGACCGAAGGGCCGTCAGAGCCCGCGGAAAACCACGCTCCTTCGTGGAGGGACTGGGCCATCTCGACGGCCTTGGCGTTGGCGCCCCATCCCAACAAGACAGGCCCATGCTCCCGAAGGTACGACGAAATCCACGCGGCAGCGCGCTCGGACACGCCGAGGTCGCGAAGTGCAGCAGTAGTATCCGCCGGTGGGTTGGGCCCAAATCCGCATACCAACTGGCGGATTGCTTTGTCAAACGCATTCACAAGGTCCAGGAAGAGTACGAATATCGATTTCCGCGCATGGGTGGCATAAGAAATCATAAGCCGCACCACCAGCGAGGCGTAATCGGTGCCACGTTTGGCCACTGCTCCGTACTGCGACTTAGGAACGTGAGCTGAGTACCCAGGGTCAATCGCCTCCTTGATGATAGATGTCAGGCCCTTCGCGCAATGATCGGCGAGGAAGATGCCGCGGTGGTCGTCGCACATCGTGGGTGAGCCCTTCTTCTTGAAGACGCTCTGGAACCGACCGCCGCGCCAGCTAACTGGCCAAGCCCCTTCATCTCGAACCCTCTCGTTGATGGCGGAGTACAAAATGGCGAGTGGGGCGTCGCCTGCAACGAGCAGCTCGGCAGGGATCCTGTCACGTCCAACGCCCTTGTTACGCCCGAGCCGGGCGAACGAGGACTGGGTGGCCGCGGGCCCGACGTCCAATTCCGCGGCGGTGAGGAGGTCGGAAGATACGGGCGCCTGCTTAAGTGACACCGTGTCGGTGACCTGGCCGTTGCACACGGCGGCGTAGTGCTCGGTCCACCTGGCGTTCACGGCCTCGGGGTCGGTAGCCAGACTGCCGTCCAGCTGCTGCACCACCGGGCTGGCGCGAGTGCACGAACCAGATAGGGAGCGAACGACCGCATAGGCCGTGCGGAAATCCGCGTTGTCCATTGCGCGGTCAGCCTTGAGGACCAAATTGTCTAGGAAGTGCTGCCGGTCACGTTGGAGAAGCGGCCGGGCACGACGTTGGACGTTGAGGATTGTGGCGCTCATGCGAGCGTCCGCTTTCAGAGCGCCCCAAACGCAGTGGACTCGTCGATGACAGCGCCTTGCCAGAACCACAGCTTGGTGGTGGAGACTGCGTAGCGCCACGCGTACAAGCCCATGGCCAAGCGGTGGCGAAAGATAGCGCGAAGTCCGGGCGACCGGGCGCGGCGCAATGGTGCGACCTGCCGGATGTAGGCCCAAGCCTCCCAAGAGATCCACTGGTTTCTCGGTTGGTCACGGGGGCCGCCGAAGGCCCTGGAAGCTGCGGCGCGTACCGCGTCGTTCACGGCATCGAGGTGGGAGTCGACGTCAAGGAATGCGAAATTGTAGGAGCGAGCCACCACCGCCCACAGCTCATCGCGGAACCATGCTCGTCGAGCGCCACACTGCAGCATCGACTTGTTCAGCGCGAAGGGCACCGTAGAAGAAGTCGCCGTGGAGGAGGGCGAACGAGACAACAATGTAACCCTGGCGCCAACTGCGACGTGATCGATCTCAAGGGAGAACGCGAGGGCTATGGAATCCAGAGTCTGGCACCACGAAACAGCCGGAAGAGCGTGGAGGGGCACCAGGATGTAGTCGATGCGCGACCAGAGGCCTCGGGTAGACCGCCAAGTCATAGATGCATCGTCGAAGAACGAATTCACTGCGGCCAGGGCGAAGGTCTGGAGGTAGGTGCGAAGGCGCTGGCCGTTGCGATTCTCGACCTGTGAGCAGACTGGGCCAATGCCGACGCCTGGGATGCTACCAATACGGGCGTTAGCGTCGACGAGTACTGCGTAGTCCATCCCACTGTACTTCACGAGGAGCGTGCGGGTGAGGTTGGTCAGGGAGTCCCACCAATCACACCTCACGTCGTCGGCAACATGTTCAATAGGCGCGTGAGCGACGATAGTGAAACATGTGGCGTCTTTACGCCGAAGCACGGCGTACAGTAACCGGGGCGACACCGCTTGCCAAGTTAGCACTTGGATGCACGTGTCGATGCGGATCCAAAGCTGGACTCCCAGGCCTCCGTGCTCGTCGGCAGCAGAAGCAAGCATTTTGTAGAAGCACCCCACCTTCTCCACTGTAGAAGGGGACCTGCCTTCCTGAATGCCAATCAAGTCGACTGGCACTTCGTTGAATTGGTATTCAAGCGACTGCACCTTGGAGAGCAAGAGAGCAGCCGAGACCTTAGAGTAGGATCGGTGTTCTTGATGTGGTAGGAGTGTCCGCACATTAGCCGTGGAGACACTGAGGTGGAGAGAAGGACGAGGTACTATATCGACGACTCGCGTCTGCGAGCCGAGCCGGCGGCTGGGCCTCCAGACGAGATGCCGTAGGGGTCGAAGATGTTCCTCGGGCGCGTGAGGACTGGCTGCTTGCCGACGTGGCGCACCGGCTTGAACTCGTACAGATTGGGGTCCGGCGGAGACACGGGGACTACTGGAATTGGCTGCTTGCCGTTGCACCGGCGGCGAACCTCCGGCAGAGCCTGATTCTCCTGGGCCTCCATGGTGGCGATGCACGTCTGGAAGCCACGGAGGAGCTGGTCCGAGTACGCCTTCGCCTGCTCCACGTGCTCCTTCGGCAAGGCCGCTCCGCTCGAAAGCATCGCCAGGAGCTTCTCGAGGTGGCCGGACGTCTCCTTGAGGGTCTCCGTCGGGGAAGGCGAGTGGCCACGCTTGCTCGCGTGGTGGCCTTCCTCCGCAAACTCCGCCTTGAGCGACGCGACCTCCTGGTTCAAGCGTGTGATCTCGCTGTTGGAAACCTCCATCGCCTCCTGCGCGAGCTGGAGGGCAGTCTTGCACTCGGCGTTGCGCTGCTGGGCGCGCCCGAGGGCGGCCATTGCGTTGTCCAGACGGGCACCGACAGGCTCGGGCCCACGAAGGATCGCCTTCTGCTGGGAGATCTTCGCTTGCAGGGTCATGCGCTCCTCCTGGAGGCACTGCACGTCGGGGAGGGCCTTCAAGGCGGTCTCGAGGTCGCGAAGCGTCTGCTTGGCGGTTTCCCTGTCCGCGCCATTGCACGGGGCAGGGGCAGGCGGGTCCCGCTGGACGGGGGTCGTGGCTGCCGAGAGCGCGGCGGCCACCTCCTCGAGCTTCGCCCGCACAGGGTTGTTGGGCGCCTTGGGAGCCGACGGCGAGGACGGCGGAAGGGCATTCGGGGCGGCTGCCACATCCGAGTAAGTGCGGTGCATGCCGCACGTGGAGCACGCGTTCTTGGTCACGTTCGTGGTGCCGCAGCCCTTGCAGGTCCACGGCTGCTTGCTCCAAGGGCGAGTTGTGGAGCTGCTGATCCAGTGCCAATGGCCTGATGGATCCTTCTTCCACTCCCCGGGAGACTGGCGGTGGCGAGGCACCGAGGATGCTTGTTGAGACCAACCAGAACCAGCTGAATACCCCCATGACGCCATCAACCCCTGTGGAAGGACGAGGGCGCTCCAGAGGAGGGCTGGGCAAAACCTGGTGATCGCACACGCGCGGTGTAGTCTTACAAAATCGACTCGAGCCCTAAACCCCTTGAGCCCAAAGGGGCCGGCGGATATATATATATATATATATATATATTATAAATATATAATATATGTGGTGTGTATACATACACATACATATATATATATATATATATGTATATATATATATATATATATATATATTATACATATAATATATTATATATATATATATATATATATAATATATATATATCCGCCGGCCCCCTTGTGGGGCCACCAGGCTGCGAGGCGCGTGATTCGCAGTTTCCTGTACCAGTTGTAGTTTCTAGTTTCCAGTGTTACAGTTCTGCTTCTTGCTGGTTACTGTAACTAGTTGACTTCTTGCTGGTTACTGTAACTAGTTGATTGACCACGCAAGGGGGGGGGAAGCCCAAACAGGATTTTCCAGCGTCCCCTGGGCGCGTTGTCTGAATTACTGGGGGGGCTCGAAATCGACACCCCTCACGCAGATCCGCGGGGTCAGGGTCCAAAAACACAGGGATTTGCCACATTTCTGAAATTCGGTGCCACCCCTCACGCAGATCCGCGGGGTCAGGGTCCAAAAACACATGGGATTTGCCACATTTCTGAAATTCGGTGCCACCCCTCACGCAGATCCGCGGGGTCAGGGTCCAAAAACACATGGGATTTGCCACATTTCTGAAATTCGGTGCCACCCCTCACGCAGATCCGCGGGGTCAGGGTCCAAAAACACATGGGATTTGCCACATTTCTGAAATTCGGTGCCACCCCTCACGCAGATCCGCGGGGTCAGGGTTCAAAAACACAAGGGATTTGCCACATTTCTGAAATTCGGTGCCACCCCTCACGCAGATCCGCGGGGTCAGGGTCCAAAAACATAAGGGATTTTCCACGTTTCTGAAATTCGGTACCACCCCTCACGCAGATCCGCGGGGTCAAGGTCCAAAAACATATGAGATTTGCCACATTTCTGAAATTCGGTGCCACCCCTCACGCAGATCCGCGGGGTCAGGGTCCAAAAACACAGGAGATTTGCCAAATTTCTGAAATTCGGCGCCACCCCTTACGCAGATCCGCGGGGTCAGGGTCCAAAAACACAGGGGATTTGCCACATTTCTGAAATTCGAACCCATCACGCACATCCATCGCAAGGCGTGGTAACCCAAACTGCGAGAACTCCCTCGGCCCTTTCATCGCAAGGTGTGGTAACCAAGCCCTTAAACCATACACGTCTTACCAATCGCCAGGTGTGGTAACCCCTCTTGTGATCAGTTGGTTTTGCTGATTGCGACTCGGCTTCGCATGAAGTTTCGATACTGCTTCACGACAGCGCCAAGGCCTCATGACTTAGCTCTTCCATGGCCCATTCTCCGAGAGAGGGGGCCGGCGGCAGGGGGCGAAGCCCTTACGGATATATATATATATAATATATATATATATATATATATATATATATATATATATATCATATCATATATATCATATCATATAATCATATCATATCATATTATATATATATATATATATAATATATATATATATATATATCATATCATCTTATATAAATTAAAATTAAAAAAAAAAAAAAAAAAAAAAAAAAAAAAAAAAAAAAAAAAAAAAAAAAAAAAAAAAAAAAAAAAAAAAAAAAAAAAAAAAAAAAAAAAAAAAAAAAAAAAAAAAAAAAAAAAAAAAAAAAAAAAAAAAAAAAAAAAAAAAAAACACGCCGGCCCAGCGGGCCAGAGGCGTGCTAAGATCCCCGGTAACTGATTAACAATTCTCTAGTTCGCGCGCGCGGGGCGGCCCCTGGGGGTCCCCGGACGAAAAGTACCCCGGGCGATCCCCGACCGATCCCCGGGAGACTCCCCCAGAGCGCTCCAGGAGCGCTCCAGGAGCGCACCAACAGGGCTCCGAGACGTCCCCGACAGCCCCAAGAAAGGCCAAGAGGCCCCCAAGAGGCCCCCAAGATGGTACACGAGGGGTGCGACATGCCACAAGATCGCTCCAAGACGCCCAAGATAGCCCCCAGACGCCCCGGAGGCAAGATTCATTGTTTTTCCTTAGGTTTTTGAAAGATTTTGGAGCTTCCACCTTTTCGGCTTCCCGACGCCCCAAGACTGCCCAAGAGGCCCCCAAGATCGCCCCAAAAGGGCCCAAGAGGCCCCCAAGAGGGCCCCAAGATGGCCCAAGAGGGCTCGAAGACGGCCCAAGAAGCCTCCAAGACGGTCCAAGAAGGCCCCAAGAACGCCCCCAAAGGGGCCCCAGAGAGGGAACACGAAACAACATTTCGAGCCCTCGGCCCTAAGAAGCCCCTACGAGGCCCCAAGAGACCCCTAAGAGGCCCCAAGAAACCCCCACGAGGCCCGAAGGAGGCCCCCAAGAGTCCCCCAAGCGGCCCCAGGAGGCCCCCCAAATGCCCCCCCGAGCGCGGAGTCCCCCAAGCGGCCCCAGGAACCCCCAAAGCGCCGCATTGACACCAGGCCCTCGGGCAAACGGCAGCCATGAGACTGTATGGGCCGGCGGAATGAGCGAAGCGATTATAATATAAATGTATATATATATATATATATATATATCTATATATAATATATATATATATATAGATATCGGAAGTTGGGGGTGAGATCGCAGTGTAACGGAGTCCCCCCACCGGGAAATCGAGTTTCGAGTTCGTGCTCGCGCCGTGCGTGCGGGCGAAGCGAAGCTCCGTGGGCCAGCGATAGGAATTCACCCTGCTGTCGCTAGGGGTCCGCCAACACAAATGTTTCCCCCTCTGGCCTTGTCAAGCGGTAGCCCACGTTGTCCCGTCGGTTGCCCGACGCCAGGCACTGCCAGCGTGACCTCCAAGCCAGGATAAGAGAGGTCCGGACGCACGCACCAGGCACTGCCAGTGCACCATCGTCGGCTGGGACGTCGTGGGCTGAGTGCCGCGTCGCGCAGCGGCAAACCGAACGACACAAGTCGCCCAAGCGAAGGAACACAAAAAAATCCGCCACGCCATCCACACCATCATCGCCCATCAGCACCACGTTCATCACAGTTGTCGTCATGAGCCACCCCCCTCCCCCCACCCCCACACAACCTCCTTATTACCCGCAGGGTGGTCGTATAGGTATGTGTATATATATATATATATATATATCCGCCGACCCCAGAGGCGTGTGCGACTCAACTGTTCACTTGTGGTCAACTTCCAACATCCACCACCAACGCTCCCCTTTTCAGTCTCCACCGCGGCCCCACTCCTGGCGCCAGCACTCCCAACCCACGGAAGCTGTGCTTTCGGGACCTCCCACCCCGCAGCTTCACGCCCGGAAATGACCCACGCCCCCCTCCTGGCCCCCCTCCTGGCCTCGGCACCCCCAACCCACGGAAGCTTTGTTCTGGGACCCCCCACACCGCAATTACGCGCCCAAAACCGACCCACGCACCCCTCTTGGCCCCCTTCCTGGCCTCGGCACCCCCAACCCATGGAAGCTCTGTTCTTGGGACCCCCCACCACGCAATTTGACACCCAGAACCGACCCACGCCCCCCTCCTGGTTCCCCTTCTGGCACCCTTCCTGGCCCCCCTCCTGGCCTCGGCACCCGCAACCCACGGAAGCTTTGTTCTTGAGACCCCCCACCCTGCATCTCTGCAAACAAAACCGACCCACGCCCCCCTCCTGGCCCCCTTCCTGACCTCGGCACCCCCAACCCTCGGAAGTTTTGTTCGCCGGGCCCTTCTGCACCGCAATTTCGTTCCCAAAACCGACCCACGCTCCCCGCCTCGCCCGCCTCCTGGCCTCGGCACCCCCAACCCACAGAAGCTCTGTTTTTGAGACCCCCCCACAATGCAATTTCACGCCCAGAACCGACCCACGCACCCTTCCTGGCCCCCCTCCTGGCCCCCTTCCTGGCCCCCCTCCCGGCCTCGGCACCCGCAACCCACGGAAGCTTTGTTCTTGAGACCCCCCACCCCGCATCTTTGCGCCCAGGACCGACCCACGCCCCCCTCCTGGCCCTCCTCCTGGCCCCCCTCCTGGCCCCCCTTCTCGGCCTCGGCACCGCCAACCCACGGAAGCTTTGCTCTTGGGAGCTCCCACCCCGCAATTTCACGCCCAGAACCAGCCTGCGCCCCCTACTGGCCCCCTTCCTGGCACACCTCCTAACTCCCCCTCCGACCTTCGGCACCCCCAACCCACAGAAGCTCCGTTCTTGAGACCCCCCACCCCGCAACTTCACGCCCAGAACCGACCCACGCCCCCCTCCTGACCCCCCTCCTGGTACCCCTCCTTGCCGCCCTGCTGGCATCGCCACCCCCAACCCACGGAAGCTCTGTTCTTGGGACCCCCCACCCCGCAATTTCACGCCCAGAACCGACCCACGCCCCCCTCCTGGTTCCCCTTCTGGCACCCTTCCTGGCACCCCTCATGGTTTCGGCACAAGCAACCCACGGAAGCCCTATGCTTGGGACCCACCACACCGCAGTTCTGCGCCCAGGACCGACCCACGCCCCCCTCCTGGCCCTCCTCCTGGCCCCCCTCCTGGCCTCGGCATCCCCAACCCACGGAAGCTCTGTTCTCGAGACCCCCCACACCGCAATTCGACGCCCAGAACCGACCCATCTCCCCCTCGTGGCCCTTGTCCTGGCACCCTTCCTGCCCCCCCCCCTGGCACCCCCAACCCACGGAAGCTCTGTTCTTGCGACCCCCCACCCCACAATTTCACACCCAGAACCGACCCGCGCCCCCCATCGGGGGCCGCGAACTGTGTGAGGAGTGCTCCTAAATTGTTGGCGTTGACGCATGCGGACCCTGCCACTGGGGCCTTCGGTGGCGCTTCCCGTGGGGCCACGAACCGTGTGAGGGGGGTGCCGAAATGATGGGCGTTGACGCATCCGGACCCTGCCACTGGAGCCTTCGGTGGAGCTCCCTATGGGGCCACGTCGGGCGCATGCGGCCTGTGCCACTGGAGCCTTCGGTGGAGCTCCCTGTGGGGCCACGAACCGTGTGAATGGTGTGCCAAGATGGGTGGCGGTCCCCGCATGCGGACCCTGCCGCTGGGGCATTCGGTGGAGCTCCTGGTGGTGCCACGGACTGTGTGATGGGTGTGCCAAAATGGGCGGCGGTCCCCGCATGCGGACCCTACCACTAGGGCCTTCGGTGTAGCTCACGGGCATTCGGTGGAGCTCCCTGTGGGGCCACGAACCGTGTGAGGGGTGTGCCAAAATGGGTGGCGGTCCCCGCATGCGGACCCTGCCGCTGGAGCCTTCGGTGGAGCTCCCTATGGGGCCACGAACCGTGTGAAGAGTGTGCCAAAATGGGTGGCGGTCCCTGCATGCGGACCCTGCCACTGGGACCATCGGTGGAGCTCCATGGTGATGACGATGATCATGATCATGATGCTGATGGTGATGATGATGATGATGATGGTGGTGATGATGATGATGATGATGATGATGATGATGATGATGATGATGATGGTGGTGATGATGGTGATGATGGTGATGATGGTGATGATGGTGATGATGGTGATGATGGTGATGATGATGATGAGTTTGATGATGATGATGATGATGATGATGATGATGATGATGATGATGATGCTGATGCTGATGCTGATGCTGATGATGATGATGGTGGTGGTGATGATGCCGATGATGATGATGATGATGATGATGATGATGACGATGATGATGATGACGATGACATTGCTGACGATGATGACGGCGATGTTGACGATGATGGCTGGAGCTCCACTGATCATGATGATGTGGATCATGACGATGGCGATGAAGATGTCGATGATGACGATGACAATGACGATGACGAGGCGGATGGGAGGAGGAAGGAGTAGGAGGAGGAGGAGGAGGGGGAGGAGGAGGAGGAGGAGGAGGAGGAGGAGGAAGAGGGAGGGGGCAGCGGGAGGAGGAGGTGAGACGCGGCTGTCTCTTCAAAACGAGGACCCAACACCTCAGGATGGTTGGGAAAAAGAGCTAACGTATATTCGCGTATACGTACGTATACAGAGAAACAGAGAGGGCGGAGAAAGAAGGGAGAGGAAGAAATAGAGGGAAGCAAGAAAAGAGGAGGATGTCAGGAGACAGAGGGGCGAAGTGGAGCGACGGAAGGAAAGGAGGAGAAAAAGAAATGAACAAAATAACCATTAAGGAAGACGGAAAGACCAATAATGAAAAAAATGTCTGGCAAAAGACCCAACCATACGCAATTGTGAATGCCGCATTGTGGGTACCACTTTCGATGGGGCTTCCTCTGGGGCCACGAACCGTGTGAAGGGTGCGTCGAAATGGGGCGGCGGTGCCATGCGGACGCCCCCTCTGTGGCCTTCGGTGGAGCTCCTTATGAGGCCACGAACCGTGTGAAGGGGGTGCCGAAATGGGGCAGCGGTGCCATGCGAACGCTCCCGCTGATGACTTCGGTGGAACTTAATATGGGGCCACGAACCGTGTGAAAGATGTGCCAAAATGGGTGGCTGTGATGCGGACGCTCCCGCTGTGGCCTTCGGTGGAACCCCCTTATGGGGCCACGAACCGTGTGAGGAATGTGCCAAAATGGGTGGCGGTCCCTGCATGCGGACCCTGTCACTGGGACCTTCGGTGGAACTCCATGGTGACTACCCCCCACACCGCAATTCGACGCCCCACACCGCAATTCGACGCCCCATACCTCAATTCGACGCCCAGAACCGACCCATGTCCTCCTCCTGGCCCTCCTCCTGGGTCCCTTCCTGGCCCCACTCCTGGCACCCCCAACCTACAGAAGCTCTGTTCTTGCGACCCCGCACCCCGCAATTTCACACCCAAAACCGACCCGCCCTCGGGAGCCGCGAACCGTGTGAAGAATGCGCCTGAATTGTTGGCATTGACGCATGCGGACCCTGCCACTGGGGCATTCGGTTGAGCTTCCCGTGGGGCCACGAACCGTGTGAGAAGTGCCGAAATAAGGCGGCGGTGCCATGCGGACGCTCCCGCTGAAGCCTTCGGTGGAGCTCCCTGTGGGGCCACGAACCGTGTGAGGGGTGTGCCAAAACTGTGCGGCGGTGCCATGTGGACGCTCCCGCTGGTGCCTTCGGTGGAGCTCCCTATGGAGCCACGAATCGTGTGAGGGGTGTGCCGAAATGGGGCGGCGGTGACATGCGGACGCTCCCGCTGATGCCTTCGGTGGAGCTTCCTATGGGGCCACGAATCGTGTGAGGGGTGCGTCGAAATGGGGCGGCGGTGCCATGCGGACGCCCCCACTGTGGCGTTCGGTGGACCTCCCTATGGGGGCCACGAACCGTGTGAGGAGTGTGCCGAAATGGGGCGGCGGTGCCATGCGGACGCTCCCGCTGAGGCCTTCGGTGGAGCCCCCTTATGGGGCCACGAATCGTGTGAGGGGTGTGCCGAAATGGTACGGAGGTGCCATGCGGACGCTCTTGCTGATGATGTCGTCGGTGGAACTTCCTATGGGACCACGAACCGTGTGAAAAGTGTGCGGAAATGGGCGGCTGCGATGTGGACGCTCCCGCCGTGGCCTTCCGTGGAACCCCCTATGGGGCCACGAACCGTGTGAGGGGTGTGCCAAAATTGGGCGGCGGTGCCATGCAGACCCTGCCACTGTGGCCTTCGGTGGAGCTCCCTGTGGGGCCACGAATCGTGTGAAGGGTGTGCCGAAATGGTGCGGCGGTGCCATGCGGACGCTCCCGCTGATGCCTTCGGTTGAACTTCTATGGGGTCACGAATCGTGTGAGGGGGGTGCCGAAATGGGGCGGCGGTGCCATGCGGACGCTCCCGCTGAAGCCTTCGGTGGAGCCCCCTATGGGGCCACGAACCGTGTGAGGGGCGCGCCAAAATGGGATAAGCATGTAAAAACAGAAGCAAGGGATCAGAGAAGGGAAAGTGAGGGGGCAGCGGGAATGAAAAAAACGCTGGGCGCTGTCCCTTCAAAACGAGGTCGGAATGAAACGGAGCGCAAGCACGGCTAAACGGAACCTTCAGCGCCAGGTCGCTGACATCGATAACTATGTCGCGGGTGCTCTCGACGAAGACAAACTCTCCACCTGGTGAACACACGCCAGCGACGGGGGAAGCCTCAACCTTGCCCGCTCTTCTGTGCAAACCTCTGTGCCGTACAGCTGCATCATTGGTTCTTGTCTACCGTTGGTCCCACATACAACATGAAAACGGTGTCCTCCATCCACCCCCTCAAACTGCCACTAGCGTTGCCGTCATTACTACAACTGCTACGATAGTCGCACCAGCAACTCCTATATCAACTGCTGCGAATAATCATGTTACTGCGACCACGCCTACAAAAAAACGAGTACTACTACTACTACTACTACTACTACTACTACGACTACGACTACTGCTACTACTACTACTACTACTACTACTACTACTACTACTACTACTACTACTACTTACTACTACTACTACTACTACTACTACTACTACTACTACTACTACTACTACTACTATACTACTACTACTACTACTACTACTACTACTACTACTACTACTACGACTACTACTACTACTACTACTA